TGCACCTGAGAAACCACAAAGCGTTGCCGGAAAGCGGGCTTCGCTCAGCGCAACGTGTTTTGTAGTTACGGTATTTGATAAATGAGTGGTCCCTCTTGTTTAAGTACCATAATACCAGTGTAATGTATACATTGTTGCAAACTCTAGAGTGGTGGTTTTGCTTGGTTTGCGGTGTTTAAATCCGCGAAATAATTTCGCCACTGAGCGGTGCTCTGAGAAGTTTCGACTACCGGGAAATATTTAACGTGCCCTGAAACTGCGTGCGCACGGGCACTGTTTCATTTTCTGTCCATGACGAAACACCAGCTGAATATTCATCCCGCGACGTTGGTCTTAAGGTCTCTTGTCTTTTTTCAAAAGTATCAATATCACGTAACATCGGGGCGTTTATATTCTGGCACTTACTTTCCGCGGAGGCCTGCATTGCACCTCTTTTATTCTGCTGTATTGTTATACGAATAGCTTCGTTTGCTCCGTCCATTTAGGTTTTTAGTGGGAAACAGGGGCCCCACTCTTTGTCACCACTTTATACGTGTCCACCCTTCTGCTTAAACATGTAATTCACTGCAATATACCTGCGCGAGTAATGACACCGTGATCACCACTTAAATGCCCGACCGTCGGAAAACAGCTTCTTCTTGAGGGTCGCATCTTCCAGATTCTTGTCTTTACTACCCCCTAGCCAAACTCAAGGAACGCAACAATTTATAAGTTTTCAATGTGTGATAAAATCCCAAGGACTGCGTCAGCGCCTTGACGTTCTTCCCCTCCTCCTTCGTACTTTAGTACCCTATACTTCTGATTTAATTTCAGCCTTCCGTGCACTCAGCCGACGAGCCGTACACGCCACACACAGTGCTTGTATGTGTCGTGTCTTTTCTTCGGGGAGTGTCTTATGCGAGTTCGCCCTAAGTTTAACCTCAGCATATTTTTGGACAACTTACAATATTCTTGGGGCCACTGCTGAAGTAGCCTGCCGTCTCACCCACGTGCACGTTATCGAAACATAAGTCGCTCAAAGAAACACAAACAGGGAAATGGACGGGACGGCGCTAGCGTCTGTGGTGTCTGGTTCGCTTTTTTTTCACCTTGATCGTCAGTACACGTGTAAATGAACTCGTCCAGAAAGTTCCGCTGGGCCGTCACATTCTGGCCTTCCAAGATCACCCTAAGCGGGCCTGTTGGGGTTCATGTAGTATGGGCATCACACATTCTTATCTCCTGGCGATACGGATACGGGGTTGCACATGATTCTCAAGTTAACTGTGCCGTCTGTCCAATGAAAAGCTGTATACGCTCGAGTCAGAAGACGTTGTTTTACTGAGATTATATTGATTGGCTGGCCTAACATCACGCTATGAGCATTTCAGTTAGGAACTGTGGTCTTTCTATTTTGTTGCTCTTTTATGGCATTCGCTCGGTAAAAAAACGGCTGCGACCTAGGAAGGCTGCATCACTTTTCGGTGAACGTTTGACAAGCAGCTATGTCGCGTCTTCCCGAAAGCGAAAGGAGGGACATTGTGGACCTGAGCCTGCAAGGCCATACGCAAAGGCAGATATCTGCAATGAAAAATCGGCCGCTCTCCACAATTAACCGTATAATCCAGGCGTATAGGAACGAACGAAAGATTACGGATGCTCCACGCAAACCTCGCCCGCAAGTAACAACCGAAAATGAGGACATGGCCATAGTGGCAGCAGCTGTGGACAATCCTAGCGCAACTGTTGATGAAATCAAGCAAAGTACAGGGCTGACGCGTGTTTCTAACACGACCGTGAAACGTCGCCTGTACGCGGCAGGCCTTAAGTCTCGAACGGCAGTTCAGAAGCCCATCGTAAGTGGAGTGAACAAGCAGAAACGCCTCGACTTTGCAACAGAGCACCTGCAATGGACCGAGGAACACTGGGCGAAGGTCGTCTTCACTGATGAATCTTCGTTTACGACAAGGTGGGACCAGCGGCAGCGGGTTTGGCGGCCCCAAAACTGCCGGTAGGTAACACTTACTTAAGTTCCCGTATTCCAGAACGTGTTTTGGTGGCCCGAAACCGTTATGAAACTACTTCAAAGAAGACAAATGCCGCATTGCCTGCCGTCACTGCATTCTCTGCATAATAACTACCACAATACCTTTTAGATTCAGGAAATATTGCCCTTACGATAAATGTGTTCATATAAGCGAAAGTAATAATAATAATAATAATAATAATAATAATAATAATAATAATAATAATAATGAGAATACTTCTGTTTCAGCGGACAGATATGATCAGCTGATAATAATGCCAGTCCAAAAGTTTAAATTTAGTTTAAGCCATGTTCAGGCAAACTTTGGCCAGAAGATACTGGATGTAATAGAATAGAGAGTATTTGCTCCAATAAAATAGTAGATATGAAAGAAACAATTTACTCGCACTGTGCGATACTTAGAAAAGACGTTCTGCCAGAGTCTAGGGGTATGTTATAAATTGTCATCTATGTTGCGATGTGAGGTGAGAAAAATACGGCGCCGTTTGCCATATTTTGTATGACGTCATCAAGTGAAAACTTGTTTGGTCCCGTCAATGTAGTACAGCCGCCAATTTTTTAACCTGAATGCGCGAGCATCGACCATCGAGTCTGTAAGCGCATGTTTCGGGCGTCCTGGTGTGCGGTTCCCGAAACAGCCTAGCAGAAGTCAGCTGCACAGGACTGTTCATCGCAGGGATGCACGTATTCTCGTTTATTTTGCCGATGTGCTTCGTTAAACGGCGCTTATCGACTGGGCGGTCGACGTTCGCGCGTTCAGGATAAAAAAATGGGCGGCTGTATATCCAACAGCTACAAGAGTGAACCACCTAGAACATAATTCATGTCCTTCGGATTTGATTCAGACGCTAATAACTTATGTTGATTTTTTGCAGGTATATGCCGGAATACATGCAACGAGTGGCAGCCAGCGGTCGTTCGGCAGTGAGCGTTTGGGGCGCCGTAACCGCTCAAGGGCTGGGACCCCTTGTCAGAATTGAAGGTCGCTTCACGGCAGATGCCTACTGCGGGCTCTTGGACGACGTACTGCTCCCATATCTCGTTGGGGGACCATTCCCAGAGAACGATTTCATCCTGCAGCATGACAACTCCCCCATTCATAAATCAAAGAAAGTTGCTGCATATTTAGAGCGTCGCGACGTGGCAGTTCTTGAGTGGCCTCCACAGTCGCCTGACTTAAATATTATTGAAAATGTGTGGGGGAACATGAAGCTTGCGCTGGCGCACCGACAACTCCGTGCCGTCTCAGCGGACGTGCTTTGGGCCATTGTTCAAGAGGAGTGGGAGCGAATCAGGGCCGACACCAACATTTGTCGGTCCCTATACAGCAGCCTCCCCAATAGAATTAATGCGGTTATTGGAGCTGGAGGGGAACCTACCCGCTACTGATAGTTGCGAACTTTGGGACACGTAGCGCACAAGCAATAAACTTCGTGTCCAACTGCCCATGTCTGCAAACTTCTTTACACTTGTAAAGCTGTAGAGCATTCCGATACTTCAGAACAAGCACGCAAAGCCAATGTTTTAGACCCGTGAATCTCGATACTTGCAGAGTGTGCAGAGCCGTCAGAAAGCCCCGCTGCGGAGGCTTAGTCGTCGAGAGCTCAGCTAAAATTAGTCGGCAGACACAAGTTCGACCGCGGCAGCATGTGCCGTGTTTAAATGCGGGAGAAATGCAGAAATACCCGTGCGCACGTAATTTCAGTGCACGTTAAATAGTTCTCGGTAGTCGGAACTTCTCAGAGCACCACTCAGTGCCAAAATTCTTTCACTGACTTAAGCACTACAAACCAAGCAAAACCAATACTCTAGAGTTTGCAACAATGTATACATTAAACAAGTATTATGGTACTTAAACAAGAGGGACCGCTCACTTCTCAAATACTGTCAACACGTTGCGCTGAGCGAAGCCCGCTTTCCGGCAACGCTTTGTGGTTTCTCAGGTGCATTAAGTTTGCTTCACGGCAAAACAGGCGCGGCGCGCTCCCGCGCTTTTAATCGAAACGAAGCCCCGCCTCCAAGCTCTTGTGCGCCTGTGCCGATAAGCTTCGATGCGCGGCCGCACCGCTAGCGCTGGCGCCCCGCGGAGCGCAGCCACGCGGCGCGGTGTTCGTACTAAGAGTGGACGACCCTGTACATAAGCACCCCATGGTGCTTATTGACCTCGGGCCCGTGTATTTTTTTCTACAAAAACATATAGAAGTACACAGTAACACACTAGTGGGAATTCTTTTCGTTTATCATGATTATGACCCGGCCCCACATACCCTCCAGTCGCATTGTGCTCTTTTTGGCATATTGATGCTCTTACATATTTACCGGCACGGCAAAGCAAGACCGAAGGATGCAAAGCACACTGCCGAGTTGAAAGTCAATACCAGCAGAAACAGACTGAAGGATTTAATAGGCTGTTGGGTGAAGCTCGTGGACCATAACAAGGCGACCAAGTGTTAGCAACAGACCATATGCGAATGCGGCTGACGCTCTCTAAGCAGGATAAAAGAAGAAAACAGATTTCAGAGATATGAAGTCTATTACCCACTCGTGAGGATGCTTCAGCTGACACTGTTCATTGAACAAACGAGAACCTGCCGAGCACGTCCGCAGAATAACCAAAAGACCGAGCTAAAGGAGCACCGAGTTCAGTAGTGAATGGGCGAAATGGAAGAGCGTAAGATGCGCAACGAACACATGCGAGCGCATGACGCAAGAAGGGAGCCTCCCGGTAACACTGATTAGATGGATTTAGCCAAGTTGCCTAGCTTTCCATGCAGTTAGAAGCAAAAGAGCATCAATATGCCACTACATGCCACAATTTGAAACACTTCGTCTATCATGTATAAAAAAAACTTGCAAATAGGTTGAGCAATTTCACTGCACTCGTGTATGATTGCGAAATACAAGAATGGCAAAACGATGCACCAAACATTACGCTTGTGCAACTTAACAATATGGGTCTATAACAGTATAGCAGTCGTTAGAAACACTAGAATTTCTGTATGGCAGCCGAACAGCGTAACATTTAGAGGTGTGACATCTGGAAGCTTTGAGATTGACCTTGGAACAGCACCGTACAACAACACTGACGTACACCGATGTGAGGATGTTTCACATCATTCCACAGACCCCGGCGAGGATCCAAAGAATGCTGGCATGTCCCGCAGGGGCAAGGGGAGATACAATCTGTCGCCCAGTTTTCATCCGCCATTGGTCACAGTGTGGTGATGAGCACCAACACAGAAGGGAGTCCTTTAAAGGAGTGAAGGCAGACAGGCAGGTCACGTCAGTGGGTTGTGCTGCATGACGCATTCCCCTGAAGGCAAGCAAGAAGCAGGAACCCGAAGACGACTCTTTGTGGACGAATGGATGGCATGGCAATAGGTTTGCACAGATAATTCATTGGATGATAGCGAAGGTCGAGAAGCTGTAAGAACGCCAAGAATTCTTGTTGAGGTGTTGTGGATACATTATGTGCGCATGGTAACGCAAGATCACGGGGAACACAATATTTGAGACGATCTTGAGTTTCTGCTTACCTAGAATTCCAGATGCCCAGGAATGGATGAAGGAATGGCCTTTTTTTCTGTAAGTGGTAGAGAATTGGACGTTATATGCGGAACTTGGGGGTTCGTATACCACGGACAAAAAGGGACATGCGCACTCTGATTCTCATCTTTCTTATTAAAGTAGAAACTAAACGAAGCAGTTGTCACCGTTACTCGGCGATGGCTGCCCCTCTATTCACTTGATAGTTACAACTAAAGATAAAGACTACAATGTCTTCTATGCTTTCCTTGGGCTGATTGTTCAATTTATTTGATTGCCTATAACAAAGTAATGAACCTATGAAAACAATTCCCCTTTTATTCATTCGAAGCGGGAAGCTCGCCATATGGCAGAGTTATCAGTTTAGGCTAGCATACGGGGTTTTAGTAGTAATAAGCCATCTTGAGCAAACTATTCTGAGCGAAAATGTTCCACACGTCACCTTGCCCACAAGTGGCGCTGGCTAAAACTTCTAGGGATTACATGGACAGGCACACAAGTCAACGGGGACACTCATGCACCTTCTATCGGCACAGCGTTAGGCGTGTGCTTTGAATATTGTGGGGTCAAATCCCAAAGATGGAATGGGTGCATTTTCATCGACTTTAATTCCTTTTCATTTAAAAAAATCATTCTGCAATAGAGCAAATAACTTCACCTATGCTTTCCTTGGCTTAGTTGTCTGTTCCTTCATTTGGTAAGGTACACATCAATCAAGTTCACAGCGGACACTACTCAAAGCGAAATGTCTTTGGCAACAGTAAGTATTTTCAGCCTTTTGAAACTCTCAACTTGCACAACTTGACAATTCATATTAACTTCCGCGTCAGAGTCCATGTCCTATAAGCACGTCTCCAGGTGCAGCAGTGTGCTCAACTTCGACGACATAGTTATGTGGTTAAATTGCTAGATAAATGTTTTTCGCATGAGATATTGCACCCATCAAAAGCTAAGTACAATCACAGTGGCGAACACATGCAGCCTTTGGAATCTCATCTACAGAAAAAAAGCATGAATCAGCATGCGACTTGATCACATGTGCGCAGCAGTATAATTGCTGGAGCAGTGCTAAGTACTAAACTAGTTAGTGCAAATGTCAAAAAACGGCCAGTAAAATAGGTAGACTAGGTCTGTTAAGGAATTGATTCGATCTCATCAGTACATATTAAAATTCCTGAAATTAGTCTCTTGGGCATAGATTAGCCACTGTCAACACGATTACCACGTTGCAAGGGCTTCCAGAAAGGAAGGTGCTTTGAATGCAATAGGTGTCGCACATGGTAAATAGTAGGAGCGTCGTTGAATCTGGCATATTCGTCAGATATTCATCAGCTAATATGCGATCCCGGCAGCTTTTCCTAAAGCTCAAATCTGAAAAATCAGCTTCAATGTTTGTCCCACCAATTCGGGGGCTGTCACTCTACGATAAGTTATGGCAGCTGACTCGAGGAGCCTTTTTTATTTGCTAAGGAATCACACAGGACACAGTGTACCCTTGCTTAACAATACCACTTAGGAATTTTTATTGATACGTGCCCATCTTATCGAGGAATCTTTCACCAGACTCACACTATCTCAAGGGTACAGCGGGTAGACATACATGGGACAGCGGGTGCAGATATGCAAGCACATAAATACCTTCCTCGTGACAAACGCACATGCTTTCCACAATTATTACGACTGGGCACCTCCTCCTTTCGCCATCTGAAGGGGAGAACTGCGCACGCCAATAGGTAGGTTGCTCAAACTTCACGGCGTGAAAGCGGCACCAAGAATGTTTCGAAATATTAGGCGCAATGAAAATCAAGCTAAAATCTAGTATAAGGGGGTTTATTGAATAAAACCAACTGCCTGGTTCAAGAGGCATCAGTCTGTGTCACGAGCTCAGCTCTTCGTCGTAGTCGTCTTTCAGGTGCTCCAACTAGATACTGTCTCTCTCCCTCTTCCCCACTACATTTGCCCCGGTGGTGAAGAGGAGCCATCCTGGCGACTCACGGCGAAGCAAGCACAAGGGGATCATAGTAAGGTTTTAAGCGGCTGATGTGGACTGTCTCACGACCACGGCATCGTCTGTCCTCGGCAGGTGTCACTGGTTCGACGACGTAGTTGACCGGTGACGTGCATTGAACGATGCGGTACGGACCATTGTACTTGGGTGAAAACTTTCGGGAGAGGCCGGGGTACTGGAATGGAACCGAAAGCCATACAAATGAGCCTACGGGGAAGCTGTGAGCAGGCTTGTCTTGGTCAAGTCGTTCTTTTTGGAGACCTTGTGCGACGGACGTAAATGAACGTGCTAATTGGCGGCACTCTTCGGCACACTGAACAAGTTCGGAGGCTGGGCGGTATTCTGAAGCATCTGGGCGGTAAGTAAGTATCGTGTCAATCGTAGAAGAGGGCTCACATCCGTACAGTAGAAAAAAAGGTGAAAACCCAGTAGTTGCTTGCGTGCCGTATTATAAGCATACGTCACGAAAGGGAGCACCAAGTCCCAATTAGAATGGTCGGAGGATATGTACATAGAAAGCATATTACCGAGCGTGCGGTTAAGCGCTCTGTCAAACCGTTTGTCTGTGGGTGATAGCTTGTAGTGGTTGCGATGAATAATATTGCACTCATGAGAGCTCCTGGACGACTTGCGATAGAAACGCACGCCCACAGTCGCTAGGCAGCTCACGTGGCGCGCCATTGCGAAGGACAAAGCTACGCAAGATGAACAAGGCGACATCACGAGCAGCAGCGGCTGCAAAGCGGCGGTTTCAGCGTAACGGGTTAGGTGGTCAACGGCCACAATAATCCAGTGATTTCCCGCAGAGTACAAGGTAGTGGGCCGTAAAGGTCAATGCCGATTCTGTCAAACGGCCGAGCTGGACATGGCAATGGTTGTAATTCACCAGAGGCATGACAAGTTGTTTTCCGTCGCTGACACTCAGTGCAGGGAGCGTATGTACTTGCGAACGTACGAGTACATTCCACGCCAGAAAAATCGCTGACGAAGCCGGTCGTATGTTTTCAAAACGCCAGCGTGTGCGTTTTGAGGGTCTGCGTGGAAGTACGCGCACAGTGTGGAGAGCAAATGGCGAGGTATAACAAGAATCCATTTCCTACCATCCGGCTGATAGTTGCGACGGTACAACATGGCATCCCGTATTGCATAATGGGGAATTTGCCGATGTAGTGCACGAGGTAGACGCTGGCGTGGTGTCACCGAAGACGAGGAGAGAACGTCGATGAGCGAGGCTATCCAGGGTCCTTGCGTTGTTCGGAAGGCATGTCAGTGATATCGATGCTGCCGATGGTAGCTTCGGCAAAGGAAACAGGTGCAACGGCTGAAGGAAGGGGGCGAACGAGAAAAAAAGCATCTGCATCGGTGTTCAACGGTAATCAAAACGGTAGACAAACGGAAATTCAACGGTATACAAAACATCTTGTATGAGAACGCGGCGTACAGGCAGCTGATGGTCGAATATGGTGAGCACTGGCAGTACGGAGGGACAATCCCTTTGGCGTCGTGGTAACCTCCCGAAGCAGGCGGCAAAGTTTTAAATCAATTACTGAAACGGCAGCACCAGTCTACACAAGCGCAAGGGTACGGTAACCACCACAAAAACGTTCGATGAGGTTTGTCGGAGAAATGCGAGGACTTGATTCTTTCGACGACGACGCAGTTCGTGCCTCCGGACTGCTGCATCTAGTTTTTTCGCGTCTGAAGGGCCGGGTCGACGGCGCATAGGCGACAGGGAGCGACGTCGGGGAGATGGAGATCGGTGACTGACTGATGGAGGGCGGTCGGGTGAAGAGGATCCTTGTGACGTGCCGTGTTGATAAGCGCCGAGAGTCGTGCGACGATCTTTGCATGGTGTCGCTCTGAACGAGAGGGCGGAGGCACACAAGCGAGCCACATGTCCCTGTGTAACCGCAAGAATAGCAAATCGGGCAGTTGTCTGCGGTGCGCCACAGATTCGGAAACGCTGCAATCGGCCGGCTGAACGGAACTGGTGATGACCGAACAGGAATCGGTGAGGTAGCATAAGTGGGGCTGTCGAGGTGCTCTGGCTGCAACGACTTGCGCAGACGTCAAGGGTGGCTGCCTCCAGAGGTGGTGAACGAGCGAAAGGCAAAGCGGTCCGCTACCTCATCTTGCATGACGTGCCTTATGGCCGGGGCCAGTGATCTTGGGGCCAAGAGGATGCGTTTTGTGCTGGCTCGGGGCGCGCTTGATAAAATGAGAGCTGCCGAGCGACCCTCCTCACGCACGAACTGCTTTATGCGAGCCAACATGTCGTTCTGGTCTCCAAGAGTCAATGCCGCGATCGAATCACATTGTTCCAGAGAGCGCCGTGTTTCGGCGCGTTGCTTGCGCAATTCGTCAAAACTCTGGCACAAGCTGACGAGTTCGGCAATGGTTTCTGGGTCCTTGGCTGACAACATTTGAAATGCGTCATCGCATATGCCCTTGAGGATTTGTTTGATTTTGTCGGCTTCGAGCATCGCTGGGTTTACCCGCTTGCACAAGTCAACAACGTCTTCAATGTAGCTGGTAAAGGTCTCTCCTGGCTGTTTAGCGCGCTCACGAAGTCGTTCTGCGCGGAGTTTTCGCACAGCAGGGCGGTCGAAGACTTGCGAAAAGGAGGCCTTGAATGAATCCCAGCTGTCAATGTCGGCTTCGTGATTGCGCAACCAGAGACTAGCGACGCCGGACAAGTAAAAGCTTACATAGGTCAGCTTAGCCGCATCGTCCCACTTGTTCGCTGCGCTCACCTTGTGGTAAGTAGCCAGCCACTCTTCAACGTCTTGGCCGTCAGTGCCGCTGAAGATCGGTGGGTGACGCAGTGGCCACACGCCGGGACGTGTAGAGGCGGGAACTTGCGAGGTACCTTGGGTGAAGGGTTCTTCCAGCATTGCTGGCACTGCAGGTAAAGTGCGACTTCGTAGTTCCAGCTTCGAAGACTACCCAGCACTTCCACCAAATTATAAGGGGGTTTATTGAATAAAACCAACTGCCTGGTTCAAGAGGCGCCAGTCACTGTCACGAGC